CTGGTGGCCTGCCTGAGTTGTAATAAATAATTGTTATTTTATCTCTGAAATTATTCAAAGGCATTTCCAATCTTTGTCAGAAAAATGTCAATTGTTTGTTAATATAATGTACCTTTACAGTATGCGGGTTGATTTGGTAGAAATACAAATACATGTACATGTTTTATAATCTAATAAGAATAAGAAATAAAGGATTCACTTACTCTGGGTCTCTAACTTCTGGTACTTGTCTGTCAAAAGCTACTTTATCACTGACTTTTAAATTATAAGCATTTCTTGCATAAGCATCTTCTCCTTCCTTGAATCCATTTTTTGACATATAAGCCACAGGATCAAGGTCGCTGATTTTACGTGCATCATATATATACTCAACATCAACTACATCAGCTTTGTTCTGAAAGTTGAAGAAAAGGACATCATGGTTTAGGACTATTGGCAGTGCTTGGAGAATGGCAGCTTGTTGTTTTGTCAAGCACTTATCAAAAATATTCTCTCCGACCACCCACCACTCCGAACTCTTTAAGGAGTGTAAGACATTTAAGAGTTTAAGACATGCTAAATATATCCACCTTTTAGGTGCGACTAGTGCTAGGGGGCAGTGGACACTGGTCTGGTTGCCATGGTTATCTCTGCAAATGAGCTGGTTAGTTATGTTCAGCCCTTGCAGCCTTGCACTCAACCCAAACTCATCACTATGAAAGTTTTAGCAATCTCTAGGAGCTGGTAAGGGAATTTCCCATTAGGTTTGCCACACATTTTCTAGGAGGATGGTACATACTGTCATTTTGTATTTCTAAAGTGGGAGGGACATCACAGATCATGCTAGTCAACACCCTCCTAGATATTACTCCATTCCAGGTTAACACAAAGCATCTACCAGGCCTAGGTACCACCCAACCTACATAGTCATACCCATTAATATAAACCCCATGAGAGCTAAGAGTTTTCCCCAAGAAGATGACAGCAGGATACTGGCCAGGCCTATAGGGATTTCAACTCTTAACTATACACAGTAGTCCTCAAGTCTGGTAGGCCACAATGTACTACAAGTCTCTTACTACCAAAAGAATTTACTAAAAAATTTTGTATGGGTCATTTAACATTTTTGCAGATGTTTATAGAGCAATTAACTTTCTTAGTAGTAAAAAAAGCAAAAACATCATATGACAATAGCTGTTATCACAGTTAAGCAAGCAATGAGATATTATTTTGAAAAGAATTCATAAAAGTGAGGCTATCAGGTCGATACAATGCTTGTTGTCTCATTTGCATGCATCCATACAGTTCTTTGACTAAACATCGTTGATTGATCGGCTTCATTCCTACGCGCCTAGACCGAACAGGATCATGGGGATAATTAATTCACAGTTACTAGCTGCTGCATAATATGTTATCTAACATGTCTTGAGCTCACTGTTTTCAATCCCATTCAATTTGCTAAAACCATGCCTCGAGCATACGGCGGAGATTTAAACTGTCGAGCAGTTTGGATGATGCAAGTCCTAGGTAATTTACCCGTTATCCTTTTCGGTCTAGGCGCGTAGGGATGATCCGATCAACAACAACGTTTAGTCAAAGGACTGTATATAAAATCTGCTTTTTGGTTTTACCTCCYACATTATTTTGAGAGATGGCTTTCTACCTGTTAATGTTCATGTGAATCACCCACCTTGATCAACACATCAAGCTAATGCTGTGATAATCAAGATAAGCCATGGTTACATCATTTCCCTATCTTTTATTAATTTAAAGCAAAAAATCTCTACACTCTAATATACTTATACATACTAGGCTTTGTAAAGCTTTCAAAGCTTAGAGAAAAACCTTTTAATCCATTTTGGATAGTAATCTAAACATTTTTATGTGTTTGTTGATATTTCTAAATGTGGCTAAATATATATATAACTTCATGCTGTGATAGGATAAGTTAACAGAATATTATCTTCAGAATGAAAAATAGGAGGACTTCACAGCTGTCTATACCTTGTTTAGAAAGCAAAAATTATTTCTTAAAAGTGAATGCTAAGAAGAAGTCTAAATAGATCATGAAATAAAGAAATAAATTTAGAGGATAAAAAACTATCACTAGATTTTTTTGGCCTAAAAAATCTATTTAAAAAAAAGAAGAAAAAGGGAAAATAGAAAAAAAGGAAAATGTGATAAGGAAGGTGGGAGTATAGCCAGATCCCATGGTAGTTCTTTAAAATAACTGATTATTTATTTAAAAGGGAATGTTATGATACAAATAAACGCAAACAATTAGGAAAGTGTAAATTCATTAAGGTGATTCCAAGGCGCTTCCCAAAACAGTGGTTTTCAAAAGACAAAAAAACTATCAAGCTTCTTAATAGTCACTTAAGTTCCAAATTAATTTGTCACTCCCTTCCTCTTGCTATTCGTTATTGCCCGAAGGTAGGAAGAAATAAGTGTTCTTGAATCTAAACCATTTCCTCTTTCCTCCAACTACACGTCACGACCAGCAGCAATCAAATTATGGATTTTAAGCCAGACAACAATATTCTAATGAGACTAATTTGAAAACTGAAACCACAAGCTAGTGAAAATCATAAATAAAAAAGCAACGGGATTTTTCATGAACGCTAGACTTACCAATATACTTCGTTTATCTTTCTCTTGGTCTTGGCTTCGTTTCGTGTCTTGTTTTAGTCGAATATCATCGGCATCTTGATTTTTTCGTAGTAAGCTTAAGCTCAAATCGTCTTCGTATTGGTTTGAGTCTTCATCTTTACCAGAAAGATGCGTTAAGAAATAAGTCATTCCGACTACCCAGACTAAAATTAGGCAAACTAGAATTAGTCTCCTGCGTCTAAGTAGCTTCATTTTGTGTTTGTTATTGATTTAATTGCAGGATCCAGCCTACAAAGAATTAAGAAAGTTCAGGAGAGTTCATGACCAGTGTCTTGTGCTACGTGRAATGCATGGCTTGATTACGACTTTGTAACCTAGCACGGGATACCCGCGGGATGTTTACGGGATCACGCATCCGACCCACACACGAATCGAGGTCCACTTGTTCAGATTGTCGTTTCATTAATTAACATGAATTGACCTTCAATTATTCTAACAACCCCAAAACTCGATAGAAAATGTTTTGTTAATTGGATATTGAACATTTGAGAGTAGTACTAGTATGATGAATGGGTTATAATCGAGTTTACATTTAGAAAGAGTAGCTGTCTGATGTCTGTCAACGGGCCGACTGATATTTGACACTGACTATACTGACTACAAGAGTTTCAATCAGTTCCCGGTCACGTTTTAAAACCAAATGCAACACTAACAAAAAATAGATATCTAAGAAAAGGGGTAAAATGGGAGCTGGTTTTCACCTTTTTGGCTGGATAGGACCCCCCCCCACTGGATCCGCCCTTGACTGCCCTTGCATATGATCTGAATTTGGATGGCAAAGTTCTAAGAAACGGTTTGAACTATGAAACATCTTGTCCTCGAAGATTGGTAACAGTCCAACGTTGCCAGTCTTGACTAGAGAGATGCTGCTTGAGAAGCAGGCACAAGCAGAGGAGAACAGAAACAAGCAACTTGAAAAGAAAAGACAAGTCGCAATGAAGTTTTAGCAAGCGAAGGAGAGAAAGTTAGACAACGAAGAAAAAAATTGAACAAAATAACCCAAAAGCTTGCAAAGGCTGCTGAAAACAGACAAGCTCAGCAGGAAAACGTCAAGGCGAAAGCAAAAAATCATTTAACAAAACGCGCAGCAAAATAAATGACGCACAGAATTTTGCAAACACACAAGAGAAGCAGGAACAAAGTGAAAGAAAAATGAATCAAGTGAAAGAAAACAGTGAAAAAATTGCTAGAAAGGCTGTAAGCAAACAGCGACAACGTGAACCGCATGCACAGAAAGTGAAACAAAGAGTTATCAAGCAAATGGAGGAAGAGAAAGACTGCGTGCGCATGTTTGATGGTCTGGAAATCGATGCTCATTTTTATGCAACGGAAAGCGAGAGTGACAAAGAGGACTTGTGGGATGCTGGATTCTGGGACAAGAAAGTCTAAAGATCACGGAATATATGGTCTTCAAAGCAATATGGGAGAGTATCGCTAAATTAATTGACATTTAAAAAGCAAAATATGAAGAAATATGAATTATATATTTTATTCTGCATGTTGAACATTTTTATAATATAATTTTCAATAAATTTAATACTAATTTATTTTATCACTTTTTTATATGTAAAATTATAAATGTTTTATTAATAAATAGGTATACTTCACAGAAATGCAAATATAATGAGCCACGTTTAATTATAAATAACATGTGAGGCATACAAAAGTTTTATCTGCCACGAAATGGCTGTATTTTACAATCCTCCCTCTCTCTGTCTCTCTCTGTCTCTCTCTGTCTCTGTCTCTGTCTCTCTCTCTGTCTTTGTATCCAAAAAGCACTATTATATTTATTTACCTACAATAAAACTGTACTACAATGGAGTGAAGCTGCTCATACATCGTTGAATTCCGGCCAGCGGTACATAAAAAGGTCGAAAATATGAAAAATGAATACGAACAATTCGTATGTCTGTATGAAGGAATCAACTGCGTCTATCAAAATAATGATACGAACGCCATCAATAACCATTTTTTTGAACCGTCAAAGGTTTTCTTTAATGATTCAAGACGTCTTAATGATTTCCACCTTCAAACGGTTCTTGCAGTAAAGGGCTTGTTTCTGATAATCTGTCTGTAGATGCTGCAGCTTTTTCAGGCTCACTGGAATTAAAAAATAATAAGTAAAAAAAATATAAGTTTGAATTTTAATCACCGATCTAACTGATGAGCTATAGTCAGCGGCTGAGGATAGCAAAGCAACCTTTGCACTAAGTCCACCAAACGTCCAGTCATTTTGAGCTAATTTTCCCAGATATATTCGTGATGATTTGACTTTTTACAAGGATCCTGGGTTGACGTCATCGTTTCGTGATTTCAATATTGAGCACCTCGTCAACCAAAAGAGATATCAATGAAGAAAGTAAAGGCCATTCTTATATATATCATAAGGACTTTGAAATCTGGAAGAGATCCTGTATGCTTGATAGGCACTTTAAATGCAATAGACAATTAGTCCTTTACAACCATCGGTGGGGGCGATCGGTATATCCAGTAACACTTAATTGCAAAAATCATTGTCGGGTTCAAAACATAGAACATAGAAGCTGAGACGAAAAAATATTCTGGGAAATGACATAATATATCTTCTGATGTATCCATTTGAGATACACAGTCGATATTGAATCCGACAGTTTTAAAAAATCTCCATGCTTTCTGTTAGTGCAACATGCAGTTTATGGGCATTCTACGCGAGTCATATCACTAGATATACTTCCCATGTACCATTACGGTCTCAGCTCTCTAGCTCTGGAACAGGGTATATGAAATCACGCTCTTTCCTCTCTGGAACAGGGTTTTCAGCGATCTTGCTCTGGAACAGGGTATGAATTTCAGTGATTTTTACTCTGGAACAGGGTCAGGGTTCAGAGGGCTCACCCCCCCCCCCNACTTTATTGGATATACACAATTACTAGGAAATCAGTAGTTTACATTGGGGTCCGATGAGAGGGGCCTGTCTACATAGGATAAATGTRCGATTTGTGCAGCACTTTAATTTTGTAATTTTCAAAACTAGTGAACTAAGAGAAATCTAAGTAATAATCAAAATACAGGAGAGCAACAAAGAGTAAATGTTCCCATTTGATAAAGAATTCTTAAGACTGAGCTAAGTAACTAGTAGTTACATGTTAAGAGGAAATTTTTTTTCAACAAATGAGCAGTAATGGCAAAAAGTGCCAAATACTAGACTTTCATATGAGTTTTGACCCCAATTTTCGTTTTGGGTTACACTCAAAACCGTTTTTAAACAGTTAGAAGCTGATGTACCATGATAAATTGTCTGTTTGAAGTGGTATTTTCAATTATATAAAGATGTTTTGTTGCATTATATTGTGTTAGAATGTTGCTTTGTCAACTTTTTTATAGAAAATATATGGGAAATAAGCAAATGAAGGCCTAAACCTCATTTTCGAATAAAATATTTGCCTTGGGTTAACACTTTGATTCCACTTCGATCATCTCCACTTCCAAACAAGTTAAACTTTCTGAATAACAAGATTTCAGCCTTGTAAAACAGCCTTTCTTCAAGAAAATAGTTTTTGGTGCTCACTGCTTGAATATGAAAAGTATTTTCCCTTAAATTAAAATATTCATGGTGATGTTGTTGTTTACCTATCTGAAAAAATTTCAATACCATGGTACAAGTATGTTATCAATGATAATGTATTTGTCGTGAAATGTGATCACCAATATATAATATATTTAATAATATTAATATAATTTATAATAATATATTTATCACATAAGCATTTCAACTCATTGGCAAGATAGATTTTTTAAGGAAGACTTGGAATAATTGCAAAGTGTGAATGTTTTTTTTATTTTTCAAAATGAGAAAACTAGTAAAATGGGAAACTTTAATTTTTTGTTTTCTTGGTTGAATTCAGTTTATCATACTTGATAAGTCCTTGACTTTAGATTCTCAGGGAGAATATCGTTTTACAATAGAACAAAATAATTATAAACTACTTAAACAACATCCATGAACAATACATTAAGTACGAAAAAAGTAAAAGCTTAAACCACAAAGAATAACAAACCAAGTACACAGTTTTCAAACGTTGAGACTCAAGATCAAAGATCAGAAAGCCGAGTTATTTTGCATCAAAAAAATAAATAAAACTTGAGAAGATAGTTAAAAATGAAGATGCGTAATTAAGCTTACTAAGCCTCCCTCCCGCCATTATTATAATCTAGCCATCTGTTTAATACAATAATCTCCCGCGATTATTACATCAAGTACTAAAAATACAACTCACGTTTACAAATTTTATGAATACTGAATTAAAGGTACATATTTTCTAAATATATAAGCAGGAATTATTTATTAGATCACGAAAATAAAGAGTGAAAGAAACCTTAAAGAAATATGAACTAAGCTACGCACCCTTTCAAGTTCGATAAAATCGTCTTCCAACTTGGAACCTTTGGCGCTTCCAATCTTTTCGCTCATGTACTGAAAAAGCAAAATAACAGCGTTTAAAGATGGAGRAATAGTTATGTAAGAAGATATAAAAGTCTTCTGAAATTCGAGTCAAKGTTATGAGGTTTTTTATGCAAGACTAAAGGCATTTTAATTTGAAAAAAATTAAGCCTTTATACTCAAGTTACACAGCCGTTAGCGCACATGCAAATATTCTCTCACCTGGTTTGCTTTGTTTATTTGCTTTCTGAAGCCAGCAAGCGACATGGTGGCTTATTGTCCTAYTAAAAAGGTTGTACTGTTTTTCTGGGTAAGGAAGATGAAGGAATTTGGGTTAAAAATTGGCTTTTTACGACGGAAATTCTTTCACTTATCCACGGAACGATGTTCTTCCCTTGTAGCAAACACTTCCGAAACGAAGATTGGGACTAGTCATGTGACATRTCACAGGTAGCCCGTGGTTAATACATGTACAGTCAACTCTCGCCTTGGGGACACCCCGATATTACGGACACTTTGCTATTACGGACAGGAGAAAAATCCCCGTCAAAAATATTGACAAAGAAATGACCGTAATAATTTTTCGCTATTGCGGACGCTCGCTATTACGGACATGAAGTGACAGTCCCGAGGGTGTCTGCTGTAACGAGAGTTGACTGTATGTACATGTATGAATTTCATTTCCTTTCATGGGAAGACTGTCTCCCGGTTTAACAGGCAAAATATTACTATACTAACAATATTCAACCCCCTCTCCGAGCCTTCCGTCCATCGGTCATCCGTGCGTCCGTCCATCCATCCATCCATTCATCCATCCATCCAGCCAGTAAGCCCCTTTTGTTCGTTCTTTTTTATTCAGTTCATTCATTCGTGGACYCAGTCACACTATTAAAGACAATTCCTCATTCGTTTGTTCGTCGATTGATCTTCCCTTCAATCATTCGCTCTTTCTTCACTATGAGCAATGTCCGGGGGGGGGGGGGGGGTACTCCCCTATATTCGCTATACCGAGTACGTGCCGCCAAACTGGGTATGGTTTTCAGCGATTCTACTCTGGAACAGGGTATATGAAATCACGCTCTCTCCTCTCTGGAACAGGGTATCTATTTTCGTAATACCAGAACAGGGTATGGTTTTCAGCGATCTTGTTCTGGGAAAGGGTATGAATTTCAGCGATTTTACTTTGGAACAGGGTCAGGGTTCAGAGGGCTCATTGGCACATCCCTACCCTAAACTAGCAAGGGGACCCCCCCCCCCCCCCCCCCCGGGAATTGAATACTATATTTACCCAGTATTATAAAAATAGATAGAAGGAACCATGACGACGAGACCAGCAATGTTAAGCCATACTGTAATAGACACTTCTGGATGCCAATGGAAGGATGGTTGTTCTTTAAAGAGAGTCCAGAACAGAAAACCAAGTGGAGTTACTACTGCCTGCAAGTACGACACGATGACGTAAAGAAGATCAGAGAAGAGAAATTTACAATACGTTCACAGTGCTTTGTTGTGGTATGTCTGCTAAATACACCAGTTTGGCATTCCATGCATATCGCTGTTTTTGAAGACCACATTTGCACAGGACTAGCGTCGTTTACAAGTCCGTGGGATATCAAAACATTGTTATTAATTAACTTGCGTATTCCGCTTCACATTTCAGTTGACTTTTGCAAATGATCAGCTTTTAAACGAGACTAAACCTGTATAAATAAGTCTTAAGTCATATAACTAAAGGTGCTGACACACGATGCAACATTGCACGCAACATTGCAAGCAACAAATTTGAATCGGGGTGACACACATTGCAACAAAATCACGCAACATTGCTTGTGTCAGCCTGCTTTGTTAAGATATTTGGTCGGCAGTCATAATTTTGGTTCAAGCTGATTGGCTTCAAAATGTTGCAGTTGATGTTGCAGCCATGATCACATGATAAAATTTGTTGCGCGCAATGTTGCAAGAGTAGAGCGCGATTCAACTTCAAATTTGTTGCATGCAATGTTGCGTGCAATAAGTTTGGGTTAGACACACACTGCAACAGTCCTGTTGCGTGCAATGTTGCATCTAATGCTGCACCGTGTGTCAGCACCTTAAGTGGTATCGAATTACCGAATGACAAAATTAAAGGAACTGTTACCAAATCAAGCAGGCAAGCAGGCAAGCAGGCAAGCAGGCAATCATTACTCCAAAAACCCAATAGTACATACCGATATAATTGCCAATAAGGTAGCTCCTTCACAATATCGCAAAAGATTGGCCGTAACAATGACATACGAACAATTTGAAACTATGAAGAGAAGTGCGTATAAGCCAGGATAGAATGAACATTCACTGAGCCCAATGGAACATCTTGCACCAAACAAACAACTGGAATTTGAAACAAAACAAAAAAACAAAACAAAAAACAATCAATTCTTCTATTTTTTAAGGGCCTTATCTTTGCGGGTTCTTCAGTCTTTCTTCCTCCAAGAAAACTACGATTACACAATCGATATTTGTTTCAGCCCCGATACACTGTGCAACTGCTACATCAAAAGATATACACCGCAATTTTTCAAAACTAAGGACACTGAAAAGAACGCTACACCCAACGTTACCGAGAAAATTGTGCTGCGTCGAACTCTACAACGTTGCGCTCAACTATAGTTCCATCATGACATGTGCTGCCAGCCAACGAAATTATTTTTGGCCAGAACTTGAGTAGATTTCCTTAGTTTATACTTTTTTGCAGGAAAAATAGCTAGGTGCGACATCCCTCTAAAATCTCATTGTGCACAACAGTTGCATAAGTCCGGGCTTTTCCTTAATTCTCTTGAGTCCCACCTTCCTGCTTAAGTGAACACTTAAGTGAGCATTGGACTTGATAAAATATACCGTATGCATAAATGTAGCATTAAACCAACTTGTTATGATTTTAAAAAGCAACTCAAGACATATCTTTTTAGGTTAGCTTATTTTAAGTATAGATCTTTTTAGAATTTAGTTTTTTTGATTAAATAGTTGTCTATTAGTTTTTTGATCGTACTTGTAAACAACGCTTTGAGCACAAGGAAAGGCGCTTTATAAATAAAAATAATAATAAAGTTATTATTATTACCAACTTATTATGAGATGTAACCAGCTAAAGAGTATGACCTTAAGAGGGCAATAGGGGCGCTAAGAGGTTCTTTGAGTTCCACTACTTACTTTGAAGCAACCTTTTGAATGCTATCAACGTTTCCAAAGAACGGAATGGCATCTACCCAGAATGATACCAAAAGAACAAGAAACTGAAATACTGTCATCATGAACATCAGGTATAATAAATCCACCTTGGTCTTGGAGAACGAGTGTTGGAATTTAACAAGATTTTCTTGCATGACGTTAGATAATGAGGCAAGAACCTGTAGAAAGAATCAGGAATAATGGCAAAGGAAAATAAAATAGTTGAGCAGAAACAGGTGGGGTTTGGAACTCAGGGACCAGTATATGCCAATTATGTCATCATCATCACCAATATTTATCTTATCAAATTCTGAAACAACCTTTGAGTTGATCTAATATATGGTTAACTCAATGACTTGCACCAATAGGTCACGTGATCCTACCCCCTTAAGTTGAGCAGCTATGACAAAATAAACACCAGAAATGATGAGAGCACCTCGACGTAAGTAAGAAGGCAAAGTTTCAGCTCATTAACAATTAAATTAAACAGTAAAAAATGACATTGAATATAAAATTTACTGTTTTACGAGGATTTTTATGGGAAGATGCTCTGGCTGCCAAGTGCTTACCAGCCAACACTTTTCCCATATGAATCCAGTGGGGAATATTGGGCTCAGATACCCAGGTTACATTAAGACAAGCGTTCTGCACATGCAATGAATTAATTCATTGTTTTATCAGAGGTTAAAGGAATAGAATAGAATAACACATGACAGAAGATTGGAACAACGTCTGACTCAGAAAAATCTGAGCCCCAGATGGTAAACAAACCCATGACCCTCTAGATACTAGTCGGATGCTCTAACCACTGAGCAACACGAGACTCTATGGTTGACAAGGGTACAATGGGTGAAGCATATACGGACCACATCACGCAGCCACACAGTCAGAATAAATCAGCAGCCCAGCTCTAACTGCATCACCATAGAGTCTCCAGTAGCTCAGTGGTTAGAGCATCTGACTGAGTCATACGTTGTTTCTGTTCCAATCTTCTTTCATATGTTATTTATCAGAGGTCCACTAAAATTAATAGGCAGTGGCCATAGCTAACAAACCTTTGATCCTTATTTTGGAAGCTAATGAATTCCCGTTCAACAGAAATAAGGTACTTACGTATCCAAGCATGAAGCACAAAGGCCAAAGAATCCCTGCAAGGCCACTTGCTCCACCTTCATCTTTATTCTTGTTATGTCTTGGGTCAATGTTAGGAAAGATTGACGGCAGAAGACAAACAAATAGTGACAGCACTGTTGCTACAGCACACACCAGCTTCCTTTTTGTTGGTCGTTTCTTTAACAGGAACAATCTGCGGTAAGATGATGAGATTTATTAGCATTTTATCAGGACGATGGGCTATGGGATGTCCAGCAAAAAAAAAACAAAAAAAAAACCTGTCCTTTATTCACAAGGGTAGCACTTAATAGCCAGTGGCTAACAAACCTGTGGCCCTCATTCCGTGATTGAATTGGAATTTAGGAGTTGATTTTTGTGTAGGGAGGAAAACCGGAGAACCCAGAAAACCCTTGAAGCACAGGAGAGAACCAACAAACAACTCTACTCGTATACAATGCCGAACCCAGCGGGACTCGAACTCGGGTCGCATTGATGAGAAGCGAGTGCACACACCGCTACGCCACCCCTGCTTCCCTAAAAAATAAAAATAATAATAAAACAAAATAAAATAAAATAATAATAATAACAATATGGCTTGGAGGCTTTATGTCATGAATCAGTTGACAAGTCATCCCAATGAGTCCATTAAATATTTCTAGTCTATATGATATAGCTAGCTCCTATATAGAAATATTGTAGTTTGCTTTATTCCCATACCCCTTCTCCACTTTCTCTGCCTCACACAAACACACCTTGACTATGGACCAAAGGTTTTATTGTGTGTGTTTTTCAATTTGCACTGTAATAGTAACAAACCCAAACCCTCAGGTCGCACCTAAACCCTCCCCTCCCCCCATCCCCGAACCCCTCTTACGATCCCCAAGCAAGAAAGGCTTACGTAATTTATTTAGAATCCGTTTACCTTAACAGTAGTGTAGATGGGATAGAAACATTCATTAAAATTGCTTGTAAATACGGAGCAGTCCTAGTACCACTTGATCCATACACAATAAATATCGCACTTACAGCACACGACAAGCCAACAAAAAAGATCTTCTTGTGCGAAATCCTGCGATCATATTTACGAAAATTGTTAACGAGACTTTTGCCCACCAATGCAATACCGAAGAAGATTGAGAACGAAAATCCCGAAAAAATCAGAACGAAATATTGATCCATGAAGGGTTTGGTCTGGCTGAATGATGTCCTGTTGAATGAAGAAATGTTTATGTATCGTATTGCTCCTTTGAGGCCTGCAGAATCTATCCATAATGGCAAGGTGACCTTCTGACCAACTTGGCTTAAAATGATTACGAATGCAAAGAAAAGAGTCTGAATTTTAAACTTGATGTTGGATTTCCGTTCCTCGATTGTGTAAGAACTAGAATTTTCACTTTGTATGGTATCATTGTGGTCAATAAAGTCATTTTTCTGCGTGTTTTTAACCATTGTCCACCGAAGAATCACCGAAACAGTTACGAAATACAGTTGCGGAAGAAAATTCCACAGGAAGCCCAAACACTGGGGTACGCCGAGAAGGTTAAGGTGTGGTTTTGAGAGTGTTAATGATTTCCCATTCGATTTTTTTTGGAAAGGAAGTGATACGTCTTAAATATTTTTTCAACCTTGGCAACTGGAAGGGGAACTTGAAAATATTTACGAAGTTTTTCTCTCCGGCTGTTTGAATTGTCCTACAATCAGGAACTTGAGAATGATCATTTCATTGAGACTGAGAAAGTAAAACGCAACAGTATCAGCGATACGAAGGGGAAGAAATAACGACCTCTGCTCGCAGGTTACAGTTTCTAGAGATATCAAATGACGGGAGACAAGATATCATAGTGAGGGATGTGAAATAACCAAAACGAGAATCACTAGTAAAGGGAATAACACACTGCCTGAATATTATGGAAAAACGTGAAAGCTATAATAGTGGTGTCAGGGACCATGGGATGGAGATACAGCCGATATTTGAGGGCCATTAAATAATATCATACTCATATAAATATGGATACCTGACTGAAACAAAGATATCTTATTCTTATTCAAACATGTGGTTTGAAATGGGTGAACATTTCCCAAGACGGATTAGGTCTATTGAGTGACAGGGGAGGGGGAGAATTGTATTTTATTTGAAGAAGAATTGAGATCTTTTTTTCACCATGCAGGAAATGCAAATGACCCCCGATGTACTGTTTTATAGACAGCCCACTCCCTTTAAGAAGTTCAAAATTGTGACTGACCCCTGTTTTAACCCCCTCCCCTCCCTCCCCTCTTTAATTATGAACAGTCCATGAGGAAAAAATGAGGAGAAAAAACAAAATGTAAGACACCAGATACCAGAAACAAAAATCATACTCAAGGAAATAATGAGAAAATGGTGATTAAATCCCTCCCCAGTGCAACTTCATCTCATTAACAGGCTTTGCCTTCAGGATTTATTGGCACATTCATCATTATATACAGGGTTTTTTTCACTTTATAAAGTCGATTAACATACCATTTAAACTGTATTATATTTTTGGATAATTAAATTCATATCATTCCTCTATTGGCCCTGGATGCCTCATTTTCATGTATTTCACTCAGCCGTATGCAATTTTGGACTAATGTGTATTCTTTATGAGCTTCGTTTCTATTGTATAACTTGGGGTATTTTTTTGTTTTCATTATATTGCATAAACTGTGCCCAATGCCCAAAGAAGGAGCTAAATTTTATCCATACCTAAAACAACTTTTTGGCTGATCAAAGTCAAAGCATGGCTAACAACCAACTCAATGTACTCACATTATGCTGAGTCTTGGAAATTTAATCAAACATAAAAGTTGTGTGTATGACTACTACACTGCCCTTCATTTCTCAATTAAGATTATATGGGATATACTTGAGATACAGGACACTTGCCCTGGTATTATTACCAGGCATGCACAGTGTTAACTTTCACCACGCCACTTTTCATTCCCTAACTAGGAGTAACATTCCTCCCTCTGGATGGGATATTATCATACTGTACTAGTCCATCACAGGGTATCCACTAGCATATCTCCAGAAAACCAAAATTAATGGATTACTTCGACAATACGGCAGCCATCTTGCCAGGGGGCAGAACAAAACAACGACTGAAAATATATTTATGTGTTTATGTTTGTGTTTGTCTTTCTTTTATGGTTAAAGGTGATTAATGTGCCGCCTTAATTCATCTTTTTTTGCATTTTTTTGTGTGCTAAGCTGTTTATATCAATCAACATCATTACTATAAGAAAGCTCTATTTGCCCCCCGGATAACCCATAATGCATTATGATTCAAGATCGCCACCGTATCATCAAAGTAGTCTATTAGGATACTCCCAAAGTATAAGAAACCATAAAATTAATCTTATATTGTTAAAAATGGCTTTGAGTAAACACTATATTCTGTGAAAGAGTACTATGTATGCACTATTTAGTACTAAATAGCACTCATGAAACAATAAGCACAACTAATAGACATTGCACTTTTTTGTACTATTTAGTGATAAATATATTTACTACTGTTTCACAGATTAAGTGTAAGCCATGCCCAGACTATGTACATTATTTTATACTACGGGTATACTTGCAATTATTAAAATTAATTTATTTTTCTAGTGGCTGTGGGTCTGTGATAACAATAATGGTGCACAAATTCCCACTACCATTAAAATAAGATCTGCTTTGTTATTAAGATTTGTTTTTGACTGTTCATTAGAATCAATATGGCCACCAACTTCAGGCAGTACATGGACAGTTGCTACGTAGAGGAACGTTCCTGCTGAGAATAACATTGCTATTCCTGTTCCATTAACACTCGTAAACATCTCTTTTCCATGCTGAAAAGACAAATTTAAGGATACTATTAGATGCTAAATTATTGTGCAGGGTTGAATATGTAAGGTGCTCATAGGAATAATTCAGTTTCACTTGACGTCATATCCTGTCCCCTAGAGAATATTCATCAGCTGAATCACTAGTTTTTAACAGTATACTGGCTCAGTGACAGCACATGGTTGCCATCTCTTGACCCCATTTGAAGCAGATAAGGTTTTGCAAACTAGAAGACATGTGACTAATTGCAACATGTTTCATCATAATACAATGGGACACTACAGTTCCTCAAAGGTGGTCAAAGAATTTTAAGAAATGATAAATTCCTCTCAAAGTGACAAACAATTTCTCCCCAATACAGATATTTCATTGCTTTTCAAACTTGAACTCAAATTTCAACCCACATATACCTGGCCAAGACCAAAGAATGTTACAAATGCCATAATAGGAGCTGCCGCAGCAAATACAACCAGGTGACGCCGTATTCTATTTCTCTCCATTCCCTGAAAACACAGTGAACAATACAGTGGATGTAATAACAGTTTACCGATACGTTAAAGACAGGGTTAGAAGATCTATAATCTAGATATTTCTCAGATCTCAAAAAAATACAGAAAGCGAAGTTTATTTTTTTCGGTTGGCTATTTTCTATTAATCATTTCTGCATTATTATGCCAGAGATTAGTAACAACGGCAGCAAGTATTCACTCTCTCTTTCCCCAATCATACTTTCCCTTGATGCGTTTATCTTGAGACCTGATAACAGAGATGATCAAAGAAGAATAACTATTTTATTAATTCATACTAACCTCAAGAAGTAAAAATGTTGTCAATCCAAAAGCTGCAGGAGCCTACAAAATTATAGACAAATGGTTAAACAAGTTGATGCTTTTGAATCAATAAATAAGATGGATGGAAGAATGGAAGAATAGAGGGATTAAGGGGCAGGATGACTGTGCAGATAAAATATGTGGATGTGTGTTGAATGCATGGGTTGGAGGGAGGATGGGAAGAAAAAATATTGTGTAAGCATTCAAATTTGGGAAATAATTTGAATAATATTGTTGAGTTTTACCTTCTATGAAAATGGTTTGAAATTTTTTAAGTTAATAAATATTATGAAAATTTACTTACTTTATGTAACATAATGGCTAAAAATATAATCAATTCTACATCTGCTTTGGATGTTGAGGCAGCAGCACCCAAAGCGATTCCATCAGCTGTGGTGAAACACAAAATATGATTACACTAAAAAACTATTTTGGATATCAGTCAGACGAAGCATTTTTTTCCAGAAAACAATATAATTCAGAATGCTATTAGAAATACCTGCTGCGTGCACAACAAGTCCTATTGTTGTAGTCAGTTTGCCATGCTTTTGTCTATTGTTACCCTCAACATCTACGGAAAAAAAACAACACGAAAATCATAAGTCTACAACACTTACAAATCAATGCATCAGCAGTCCTTTTAAAGATGGATTACTCACAAATTATCATTCATATTTATTTATAAATGACAGAGTGGGATGATGCAAATCAAGCTTTTCTTGACTCTGCTGACAATAGAGTACAAAACTGAGCTCAAAAACACAATCTCTGTACACTAGTAAGAAGCCAGCATTGTAAACCATTGCCCCAACATTACTCAATAGACCTCTCGTAGCACGTCAGTATGCAGCTTAATTTGGAGGATAGAACAATATGTTGCCAATTCTCAGGAGCATATCCTTTTGTTTTATTCTCCAAATTTAGCTGCTTTGACGCACATCGACATAAAAAAAATTACAGAACAATCTTATWAAAAAATATTTAAAATTTGCTGAGTTGGGCTTCCTATGGTAAAAGTCCTCCTATATTACATGAATATCACAGGAAGCCCAAAGCAGCAAAAGAGAAAAGTTAAGAAAAGTTAACATACTAGTGGTGACCAGTCTACATACCTGAAGAGCCATGTGAGTGTCCACCACTAATGTGGTCAATAAGAAGCATAAAAATAAATCCAAAACAAAGGGATAATCCAATAAAAACATCTGGTTCAACTTTATGGATGTGTTCTGTTAGTGGATGTACGTCACTGTGTGTTGCTTTCGCATGGGATTCTTTATTTGCTGATCGAGCTTCATGAAGATGCCTATGAGTATGGCCTGCATGTCCTGAAATATTGAATAGTCAAGCTGATGCATTAAGAACAATTTGTTAAGGTTGAACGAAGAGAAAGAAGAAAAGGTTTCAGATAATAAACCAATATAAGAATGAAGAAATAGAAAACGTGAGCGTGTGCTGTATGCAGTTATAAAGCACACGGGGATTGGTAGAACACGAGAGAAGTGTTAGGAGAAGCATACCAATCCCCAAGTGCTTTACAACTCCACACAGCACAGCAAGCACGTTTTTTTTCTTTTATAAAATGCTAAGGGCGCGTGCGTGCTGTCATAAAGCATGCTCCACCAACCAATCAGAATGCAAGATTTATAACAGTTATCTTATAATATAAAATAAAAATGTTTTCTTCCTGATGCACTGAACAGTCCACCACTTAATAGTAATTCAAGAAAAATCGTCATAGCTAATCACCACTGTAAGTACAGCAGTGGCGCAGCTCAACGACATACACTACACAGTTTATGTATGACCCCGGAGCACAGCACTAACCAGTTTGAAAATTAGTTAGGGTTGATTTTGAGTGGAGGGAGGAAAACCCAGAGAGCCAGAACAATCCTTGGAGTCAGAAAGAGAACCAACCAACTCAGCTCACATGAGGCAACTGGGATTCTTTCATATATACATGTACCATACATATAAACTTTATTTTATTAGATGCCTAAAACTAACCATGTACATGCTCTTGCCCATATAGCGTGTGAACTCCTTCTGGGATGATTACAGCTAATGCTGTACCAACTAACAGCCCAGCACCTAATACACTCACCATCCGCAGTCTTTTCTGGAGAAAAAATAAATATTAAGGTTAGAGGAAAAAATATAGGAATGCATAAAAAAGATAGTTGTATTATTATATTCTATAAATGACTAAAGATTAAGTGCAAAATAAARATATGACTTCTCATTATTTTTTATTGTTCTATCTATTATTCACTCCATATTGAGCCAGAAACAAGGTATGGCTGAGCTAAAACTAATTTGGCAAGTGATCATGACTGGCAACTGATCAGCCATTATGTTAAGCCCTGCTATTTATTCATTAGTTCTCTTAACCATTTACTAATTTATTTATCCCATGAATACATTGCTGCTAATCAATCAGATCCATTCCATAAGTCTATTAAGTAATCCTATCTATCCCTGCATTTCTTTTTTCATTCATCCATCCATTTATCCATCTCTCTACCATTCATCCTCCATTCCTTTATTTATTCATTCATTAATCCATGGTCCATCCATCCATCCATCCTTTCATTCATTCATCCATTCATCAATCTTTTTATTCATCCCCCATTCACATCACAGAAAACCTTATCTTGTCTTTAGATTCAACTTCACTAAGCAAATAAAATGTTCACAGAAAGTTGCTATGGACAACCAATATAATGTCTCTGCATTTTAAACGGCTTTTCACCGTAATGTGCATGAGCAGATTATTCGTAGGCAGTCGTTTGAAGTTATCTCAGCTAATGAAAAGAAAGGAAAAATAATCTGAAGGATAATATAGTTTGTTTTATGTGTTGTTTTTTTTTTTTATTCCCAAATATTTTAATTGTTGGTTTACAGCTGCCATGTCAGATGAATTTATCAAAAGATTCGTCATTAGTCTCTTTTGTCATATCATCTAACATGGCCGCCGTGTCTTTTGTTATTTCATTCTCTTGGGAATGATTGCAAACCAGCAATTTATTGCTGATTCTATTTTATAATTCTAAATAACTTGTTGCCTAAGGCCACAAGCTTAAGGTCCTTAAGTAAATCTAAGCGTTATTGGTAAAAATATAATTATGTATTAGCATATATATGTGTTCATAAGTGATGAGCTTTTATGTAAAGAATTATGCTCAGCAAGCGAGAAATAAAAAAATCATATGAATTATATTTTTGTGTTTGAAACTCGCGCAATTAAGGAAATCGATAAAAAATCGTAAAAATATAAAGAATAATACGTTATTTCCTCTAATGTTATAAAAATGTGGTATAAATTTGCATATAAGCTTACACTGTAATAATAAATATCATGCATTTGTGGATAAAAAACAGACCCGGCTTATCTGGAAAGACGAGACTTATTTTGATTTTGTACACGACAAAAAGTACTGCAAATTTCGTTCAAACAAACAGAATATAGGATAATATAACCCCTATTTATAGAGCTCAAAAGTAACAGCGTTTAAATTAATGAATAATGGTCGCGTATTTTCCAAAGACGATATCTTAAATCATAAAAAATGTCATAAATGTTTTGCTATATCCGTCTGGTTAACCTCACCTCGGAGAGAGAAAATGCCAAAGGAATAGCCCCAGCAACGTACGAACCGACCAACATGCAAGCACACAGGCTAAACAGTCTCATTGCATCCTCCATCTCGGTGGTGTTGGTGCTGGTGGGTTTATAAAGGCCGTATTTTAGTCCTAAATATAAGAAAATTAATCGATCAAGTGTTCTTAGTAGTTTTTCCTGACACGTTTGCTTAGCTGAGTAACCGCTCTTTGGGGTCAGCGGTTGTAATAATTGTTACATGGGAGGGGAGGGCGTGGTGTTTTGTGCTCAGGACAGACAGTGCTAGTGCAGGACTAGGGACCCCAAGGGACGCCTTGAAAGGAAGCTAGTGCAGGAATGGTAAAGATGCAGTTGTTAGATAACAAGACGCCCTATAGGTGTTGACTCGGTTGCCTGTTAGTGTATCATGCACAGAGGCCGTAGTACAGCTGAAGGGAAGTTTGCAACGTTTGCCAAAAAGATCATGGAATGTTTCACAAAAGAATGATTTTAACTCTTCTAAGACGATCCTCTCCCTTAAGATGTTCTCAGCATATTATCAAAATAGTTGCGGGTTCTGCCCTCCTTTAGGCTATAAAATGAACAGTTTTGTGAATTTGATATTGTGCCCGATGACGCAACAAGATCGAAATATCCCAGTGTTCTCAATCAGAATCACCAATAGATTTTCTTATCTTTCCCCATCCTTTCTTAACATATTGATTACTGGGGTGGCTGTTTATTTTCCTTGTCAGATGCAGAAATAGCGTAATAGTACCCAGAAGTCTTCACGGCACCATCCACTTATCCTTTGCGGGCTTATGATAAAGAGATATATCCAAGTACAGTAAATGTTCTTGTCAGCAAACTTTGTCAGGGACTATAGGAAATAATAGCTCTACTAGCTTTTCGCGGATCAATATTGCTTGTACGACTGATAACGTACGTCTGATCGAACTCATATCATACAGGTCTATAAGCCGACCGAATAGGAATAAATTTTCTTTTACTAAAAAGATTGCCTTATTGTTGAAGATTTAAATCTTATAAAAATGAATTTTTAAAAAAATCCACCGAAAGAAATTTAAAAAATGCGATTCCACTTTGCCATACCCCCGAGACATCCACAGAGCTGAGGAGGCGTATGGATTTCGGACATGACGGCGATTACTCCTTCTGTCCTTAGGTGTACGAATTACGCAAGAAAGTGTTCTAGCCGAAACACATCCCAGTAATTATAAGGGTGTGTCACTTGTCGTTATATGCATCATCAAACCCTGAAACAACCTCTGATCTATCTAAGCCGAGCATGGCCAACCCACACATCGGACCCTGAAACAACCTCTAGGCTGATCTAAATAATTAACAAGGGCACGGCTAACTCACATGTGAATTAGCCTGCGTGCAGCCGGACTTTTCTCTCGTACTTTAATAACATTTAGTTACGTAGCGTTCGGCTGCAGACCTTTCTCGAATTCGCTTGGATCGATCGAGTCGCAAAACAATGGTTCGAATCTGAGACTTGATTTTAACTTGAATCTTTACGTCCAACTTCGACTTGAAACCATTGTTTCATTGTTTCATTAGTCAAGCGAGTTCGGGAAAGGYCTAGGAGTTCAATTTGTTAGGTTTTGTGGAGGGAGGGAAATTAGAGGTCTGTCTGGAGAAAAACCCCTTGAATGAATAGTGAGAGAGCTAATAAACTCTTCTCACATATGTGATGTCAAGTCCTGAAATTGAACCCGAGACCTCAAAGGTGACCCTTGCTGATCCCACGTCCATTTTGCACTCACACATGCGCAGAAAAAAATGCTAAATATTGTATCAAAAAACTTTGACAAATCAAATCAAAATTGACTTTTGAATCCCATTGGGTCGAAAACAATTTTGAGCCAGAGGATTACCTCTACCACAATCCCACTACAGCACACCTATTGTAGGAAGATTGGGATCTCATAAGGAAATGGAGTCAGTCAAAACAGGACAGTTTTAAGTCCTCATGCTCAACCTCTTCTACTTTCCACAGATAAATAATGGACAAAAATTAGAAAAATGATACTTTTATTCTTTAACAGCTAAGTTCTACACATTACACTTGGTCACTGCTGACTTTTGAATATTAATAAAATGAAGTACAGCGTTCCATATTATTTCCATGAGCTTATGAAAACATCATTTCTCATAGATTTTTCAGCTAAACTAGCACACTTTTTATATGTAAATACATAGTTCTTCACATTCCTAATATTAGCCTTTTAGGAGTTTCTTCATAAAACGAAATCAAACATAATCTAATGTGACAATGGCTTAATTTTAGGAAATGATGGAAAATTGCTTTAGATTACATTACTTTGAAAACATGTTAACAGGGCTTAAGATTATGGCTGGTTAATCATGATGACAAGCCAAATTAGTTTTAGCTTGATCATACCTCATTTCTGGCTCAACTTTACTGGTCAAAATGACCAGCAAGGTGAAGATTTGACCAGACAAGTTCCAATTCTGGGTAGACATTTTCCTATGTCAAGCCCTGGTCAAATCTCCATGATGGCTATTTCTCATGACCACAAAAGCTCAAATACTCTCACAGCAAACTAAAACTTTCCCTTCAATTTCACAGTATCCATTATCTTTAGCCAGTTTTTATCCTAAAGTCAGCAATATCTATGCTATGCAAAAAATTAAGCATTTTTTTAATGGGACTAAAAAAGGAAAGTTTTTTTAAGAAACAGTAAGGTTATATACAAACAGCTATTATATTAAAGACATTATCAAATGCTTACAATTTAACCTATAGGGCATTTACCTATTCAACAAACTTTTTTCTACTATATTGAGTTCCAGAATAAATCTCCATGATTTATTACCATAAATTAGAGCAATCAGCGAGGATTAGAATATTCCTAAGAACATTTTGAACAGAAAGATATAAAGATAATACATTTTCTGGTATATCTTAGTGTAGAGAGAGGTGAGGAGGAAGTACCATCAATATATACTCAATGCCTCTTAATGTAAGGAGGAAATATATTCTGGAACAATATCAAAGGGTTAAATCAATTATTTTAATATAACTGATTAGATAACAGCCACATACAGGAGCATAGCCAGGATTTTGCCTTTTGGGAGGGGGGAGGGGGCAAAACCTGTTTTCAGAACATCTGTCAGTCGGTCAGTCGGATGTTTTGGTTTCTACAGGGTGGGATG